GGGGCGGGGCCATCTGCTGTGATTGGTTGGGGTCGCAATAACTTCTGCTCAGCTTTCCGAGCTTCCCTCAGGTCCTCTTATTGTTGTGACGCGTGTTCGAAGCGCAGAGAGGTGCGCTCGATTTGCCACACGGAGCAGCGTGTAAAGCACGAGGGAGGGGCTAATAATCGGCTCAGTCATTTTTAATGATCGTTGAATCGTAATTGTGATTAAAATTGGATTAATTGAGCAGCCCTAACTTCAGTCATCTTAAAGAAGCAAAAGGATAAAAATAATTTTTCTTACCAAAAGTCGAGTCCAACTGGGGGGACGTGGCAGTCTCTGTGGTATCCTCGACCGCAGGCTGAGCAGATGATCGAAGTGCCGGGTGACGCACAAACCGAGCAGGCAAGAATCTCCAGGGTTATCGGAGAGTCTGGAGACGATTCCGGCTTCATGAAATCCTCTTCGTCAGCCGGCACGTCTTCGGCATCGGACTGTAACGGAGCACAACGACAACAGTCTCTTAAAGCTGACCGGTTCATTTTATAATCCAACTTTCTCGAGTTTGTCTGGGTTACAGATCGTGTTTCACAAGTGCGTCCTACCTGACAGTCGTCGCTCATTTCCTCCAGGTAAATCTCATCTTCGGTCTCTCCAGGTAACAGACGAAAACTGGGAAGGGACCGTCCAAATCTCGGTAGGGACACAGGCAGTCTCAGCACGGACACTTTGGGCTGCCACCGACTCAGGCTGAAGTCCTCCTGTCCAATCACGGCGCTCGGCTCTTCGACGTCCTTGTCAGGAGTTACCAGAGTTGGCGCGTCGTCTTTTGGCTCGAGGGCGTTCGGTTTTGCTTCGTCAGAGACACAAGTGGCGTGCTCGGTTTCTTTCGTTTCCTGGACCTCCTCAGTATCTCGTATAGCGTTATCACGGCGAGAGTCAACCACCAAGCCCTCCACGGGAACCTGCTGAGTCTGTTCCTGAGGGGAGGGGGGATGAAGTGTGTGGTCAAGTTCCTGAAGCGAGGAGCTGCTGGGCAAAGCCGGGCTCGTATCCTCCACGGTTTGCTGCTCTGACGGTAACGTGTCGCTCGGTCCGTCACAGCTTCCCGCAGAAGTCTCTGGACTCACTTCTGTGATGGTGCTTTCCTC